TAACTATGCCATTTTCTCATCATCATAAGATAACATTACAGTATATTACACTCATTCATTTAGAGCAGCTCATGAGATTTCTGCTGTTTTTTTTTTATCCTGCCAGATGTTTGTTTAAAAAAACAGTGGAGGATGGTAGTCTGTTACATGTTCCTAGATGTGTGTTCCTCTGTACAGTGGTCTAAACCCATCAGTAAACCTGCTGAGAGGTAGGGGAAGACATACCAGGAAAGAAAATGTCATTGGACCTCATATGTTCTTGGGCTAGTGCTAAAACTAACTCTTGAAATTACAGTGTGTGTAGGTTTAGGTGGCCAGTACAGGAAAGTGCTGTTCTATAAGCTTTGACCCCATTCGGGACTATTAAATATACTTTCAAACTCTTTTTGATCCTAGTAAGTTTGAGTTTACAATTTTCTACATGGATATTTGATGTCCTATACCAAGAATACATGCTGGAAAAACATTTTCAGAATAGTGTAAAATAATGACATCCAGACCTCATCTAAGCCCATCTGCATCACCTAAACAGCATAGGGAGAGTATTTACAAAAGCAGGCAGCAATGTTTGCTAAAATAAACTGATTTTTTAAGAAAGGAATTAACATGACCCTTTGTCCTGGGTTTAGCAGTATCAGTCAGTTTTTCTCCTTAGTAGCTGGTGCAGTGTTTTGTTTTGACTTTCACCCTGGGAATAGAGCTGATAACACTGATGTTTTTAGTTGTTGCTAAGTCATGTTTACTCTGACCAAGGACTTTGTGAGTCTATGAGGGAGGAAGCAGAGACAGGACACCTGACCCAAGCTAGCCAAAGAGGTATTCCATACCACAGCACGTCATGCCCAGGGAGGTAACTGGGAGTTACCCGGAAGGGCTGGGGCTCTGTTGGGGGGTCAGGCTCGTTTTGGCAAGTGGTATCGTATTCTCTTCTCTTGTTATTTTTCTCTTATTATCGTTGGTGATAGCAGTTTTGTATAACACAAACCTTATTTACTGGACTGTTCTTATCTCAACCTGTGGGAGTTACATTCTTTTGACTCTCCTCCCCATCCCTCCGGGAGTGGGGACGGGCAGGGGGAGGAAAGAAAGAGGGAGGAGGGGGGGGGGGGGGGAGTGAGTGAATGAGCTTTGTGGCTTTAAACCACGACACCCTTTAAGCCTTTAGGCTTGAAGAAAGCCTAGAAAAAAGGAATTTGATTTCTCTGTTACATCTGGAAACAGTTTTAAACATGTTTATGCTTTCAAATAATTTAGAATTAATTTATCATTTTTTTCCCGCTTCCATTGTTCCTACTTTGGTGTGTAAATATGACTTCTGTTTAACATCTACTTGTTATTCAGGCCTTTTTATTTTATGTGTTAACAAACTAGTCTTTTGTTTTACTTGATCTTGACATCTGATGATAATTTTGTAACACATTCTAGTGTTACAGCTTTGAGATTAAAAGCTGCCAGTCATGGTGTGGAAAAGACTGCATCGCAGTGAGCAGCAAAGAGGCATTTCATGTCTAAAGGTCTTTTCCAGCCTAGTTGATTCTATGTGATGGCTGTTAACTGACAATTTCAGAAAGGCAGAGCCCAGATAAAACAGGGACCATAATGCTTAAGAATAAATATTGTGTGTGTATGTATGTATTCACAGAATATGCCATTACAACTCCCCTTTTGCATGCTTATTTAGACCAGTCAACGTGACTTTCATCTATCCTGGATTGGTACCAAGGTACTTTGCTTCTAACTCTTCTCCAGATCTGTGGAACAAAAGGTGGCGTAGTGAATCCAGTGTCAGGGTAAGAACAAAGAATTTCCTGTTGAGAGTGCATTGTGTCATTAATTCGGTAAAGGGATACATGAAGGCAGTAAATTGGGATGTGGTGGACTAAATCTGGGCTCTGATGGATGAATGCATGCAATTTCTGGATTTGTGCCGGGGTAAGAATGGGATTGCATCATTTTGTCTTGAAGCTTGTAACAAGACTTTATGTAAGGATGGGTTCATACACTTGACACAATATCATAACTGACACTGAAGGGAAGAATAATTCTCAAAATGTGATATTAACTTTGTGTAATAGAGACCTCAAGAAGCCATCTAGCCCAACCCTTGCACTGAAACAAAATGCAATACACTTGTGACTTTATTGACAGATATTTTGAGTAACTTTTCTTGAGAGGAAGACCTGCAGCACTTCCTTACCCTTAGGAGTGCTTTTCTCATCCTCTTTATTACAAGTTACTGTTGTTTTTGTCTTTGGTAGATAGGAGCATTAACTGTCATTTTTAGATGTATTTGAAGATATATGTCTTATAGGATAAAGAAAATAAGTGCATCACTTTTTAGGTCTTCTTCTAGGCCACAATGTCTTTCATGTATTGTACCACCCAATAAACTGTAACCCTGGTGCTAAACCCACAGGGAAACTACCTTATATGGTCTATATACCCCACTTCTTTCAATACATTTCACAACTCCATTTGCATTTTACCCGCATTTGTTGAATTATACAATCTGAATTCCCAGAGTATTTTCCACAGAACTACTGGAGTATTCATGCTTCCTATTTGTGCCCTTGGTTATCTATCTCTTTTCCTTCTTGGAAACTTGGTGTTTCAATCTTGCCTTATTTCACATTGTATTATTTCACATCACTTATATGATGTCTTTTGTCTTGTGTATTTTTTATGTATAATTTCACACACTTTCTCCTCTTTATGAAGATCATTTTGCTTGCATTACAGATTTATTGGTTCTGAAACTTTGGGCATGACTCTTAAGTTTATCGTCCTATAAAATACTGTTCCTGTTTGTAGTAGTGAACAAACAAGCACCTTTGTTGTCTATTCCTTTTCTTATATCTGAAAGGTTTTAATATGTTTTTTCCCTATCTAGTCACAAAGATGTCTCATCTGGAAAGAATTGAAAAAAATAGGTATTCATGAGCTTGCAAATTGGAACCTGTATCTGCCAATTTCAATGGCAATGGGTGATGTATGTTCAAATGTAATATATTATGTGTAACATTTTGTGGATGAAATTGTTAGACATTCAAGTTTTGCTGCAGCGATGATTGTTTTGTAAATGTGGAGGAAGCATGTAGTTCAATACTGTCAAACAGTTATTCTTTAATTTGTTCACTAATAGAAGATTCAGTTTCCCAATTTATTACACTAATTTTATTTTACCAATATAACTATACAAGTGCAAAAAAAACCATTTCAACCACAACATTAAAATAGACTTTAAAATACCTGACTTCCTATATATAAAAAACACCTTAGAAAGGTCTTCCTGATACTTTAAAACTTTTTATAAAGGGACAGAAGGAATATTTTCATACTTGAATGCATAATATGAATTACCAGAAGTATTTAATGTGTAATAAGTTACCAGCAGATGCAGTGAGGAACTGTGTTAAATTTGAGCACAATCTGATAAATACAGATCTTGCTTTGGGGAGTTTTTCTGCAAAACAGTAGCATATGTCTTGTTGCATTTTGTTAGAGACTAGCTCTGGCAAGAGGCTGGTTTCCAGTATGGATGGGTTCTCATGCTATGATCAGTCAACCTAAACATCCAGTTGCTCTATTGAGTTGTTAATCTCACTGCTGTACTTGTTGCAGTGCTTTTTGGGAGGCTCCACTAAAACTGCAAGTATCTCTTACATTAAAAGCTTTCAACAGGTAATGGTATAAAAAGATTTGTATTTTTTTCCAGTATACCTGAGGAATAAGGAAGAATTTTCTGCTAAGGCTTCTAGAAGCAATGAATAATTATTAAGCCTCTTCTAGTGATACAGTTAATGATCAAAACAACGATGACAAAAGTGTAATGAGAACAACAGATTAAGTATAAAGGCAGTGTTTTTCATTTGGTAATGCAGTGTTCAGTTAACAGCGTTGAAACTGCTGGTTTAGAATAAATTTAATCAAAGTCATGGTATGTGGGAGTAGTAGATCTAATTGATCCGGAGATGATTAAAAGGCAAAAAAAGAGATTTGTGATTGATTAGGCTGGTGTTTGCATCATGTGCTTTATCTGTTACTGAATTCCAGCAGTAGGAACCTTAGGAAACATCCCATTTGGTTTGGCTACATAGGCTATTGTTTACCTTTCTGTGCCTTCATTCTTTCAGTACTAAAAAAATATATAAAATTGCAGGAAGTGGGATCTGAGGGCCCCTATTAGATAAATTATATCTGGTGTCTTCTGGGTTTTGCAAGCCTCTGATGGGTGTGGATCCTGGCTCCAGTTAGACTGAATGATTCAGAAAAAATGTCAACCTCCTAGAAGAACACAAAGGATATTTTTCTAAATAGAAACTCATTTCCTGAAAATCATGGATCGGGCAGGGAAATCTCACTCAGTAGCTGCTCCCCTGTTGGGCAGCACTGACCCACACCAGTTTTAATTCAATATCTCATGGATATATTCCCAAGGGGTATCCCAAGTGGGAATCAGTTGGTCTCTATGCATTTACAACTGATAGACCTGAAGAGAAAATTCCATCATTCCCTTCTCATGAGGTACAGAGGGTATTTCTTCTCTGATTTTTAGATCAGCTTTTTGTTCTGGTGTTAAAAGGTTTTTGCTGAGGGCCAGCTATGTCTGGATAGTGGTAAGTTACACTTTCTGTGTTTGCTTTTAAAGGGCTGACTTCTTTTTGTAATGGAATCTGTTTGCTGTTCCTGTCTGCTGAAGCAGAGTGTTTATGACAAGCTACCAACTCAAGTTCATTGGATATAGGGAACATGTTAGACTGGGTGTAGGCACTTGATGTTCTAGCCTCTGAGTTTCCCCTCAGGCATTTGTAGTAGAATACAGACAGTTGTAGTTAGACAAGAAGGTGTTCGAGTCGTAAAGAAATGCCTCATGGCTTAGGAAAGCCTCCTTCTCATATGTTCAGTATTCAGAATTCTTATGATGTTCCAAGACAGATACGTTGGGTTTCAGCTTTGGTTTTGCTGGGGATTTTTTTTTGCTGTTTTGTGGTGCGTTTTTTTCCATCAATACATGCATGAAATGAGGTGTGTCTGCCATACCAGTAGAGTTTTAGCTGTATCTTTCAGCATGGTATCCATTTAAAAATTCTTTTTTTTAATTTCTATTCCTGACTTAATCTTTGAAGAATGAAAATTAGTTATTTCTGTTACTCCCTTTCTTCTAATGTTCAGTGTTTCTGCTCTCCCCTCAGCACCTGTGGAGCTCAGGGAACACAACCTTCAGCTGTTTTTCACAGCTTTGGTCTTTTTACTGGTGTTCTTAACTATCTCATCTCTTAAGGAAGGAGGTAAGAAATCACACTACACCTGTTTAACCTTTTCTTTCTAAAACCCACAAATGTCTACTTCTCTTTATGACTTCTTCCTTTTTCTACACCCCGGGCATCCTTCTACCCTCCCAGGTGTGGAAGGACTGGGTGTACCTTCGCTTTCAAAAGCATGTTTGGTCCGCTTTTCTCGAAGAAGTAAAAAGCTGGCTGATGTTGGGAAAAGGGTGAGCTCAAAGAGAGGTCTTTAACACGCATGCTGCTGCCCCTTCTTGTTGCAGGTTTTCTCACTGTCTGAAAGCTTGTCTCATTTGTTGTATCTTCACTTCAAACTGGAAGTAGTTTGAGGAAAGAGAGTACAATTTTTTTATGTGTGTGTTCAGAAGAATCCTGGTTTAGCTGATTGTAGCACCACAATAATAGGGAAAATAACTTAGAAGGTAATAGAGTAAATAAACTGAAAATATCTCTTATTTGTGATTTCAAAAATGAAATTATTGTATGGCCAATGGATGCATAAGTGTTTCTGTTTTTTAGTTTTCTTGCTGTTAATCAGATGCTGTTCTTTATTTTGTAGCTCTAAAAGGAGAGTCTAGAGCAGTACTGTATTTCTGTCAGAATAAGATTGTTTTAATCTGTGTCAATAAAAACTTGTTTGGTTACATGCAGGCAAATGCATATGACAGACCAATCTACTGTGCTTGCCAACCTCAGCCAGGATCCTGTACAGGATGCCGCAGCAAAAAGAGTAAAGCTACAGTAGCAGAATGTCTTGTGATAGACTGCATGTACCACATGTTGGCTTCTAAATTCGTATAAATAGAGATTGTCTGAAGACAAAGGCATTTCAGATTTTGATAAATGACCAATGTAAATGCATTAAATATTTCCTTTTCTGTGTAAATATCTGGTTTTGTACTGAGTCCTTGTAAGCTTAACAAAGTCATGGATTGTTGACTTTCACAGCTTAATTCTGTGTTGAATAATAAAAGCATTTCCTCTTTCTTACGTATTATGCAAAAGTGTAAACAGAAGTGCTTGAAAGTCTTTGCTTTTCTGTAATTTCCAATATATGTTTTTTTAAATTGTTCTCTAAATTCTATTGTTGCATTGTATCTGAGGCTGAAACAAGTATTTGATGAGAAATTGTTACATTTCTGTACAATATAGTGAAATATTTTAATTGCTAGTTTCTATCTCATATCTTAGACTTACGCCTTGTGTTATCCCCTCCTGTTTCATTGTGCCGTCTACAATTAGACCCACAGCTGGTTCTTTCCCTCAATGGTTGTACTAATTTATAACCCATTAGAGCGTATGAATAGATCATATTGTTCCTTTCATACTGGCACAAGGAAGTGTAAATTAAGTTTTTGTATGCCAGCAAGGGAGAAGTCTACCCAAGGATAGAGTTAGCTTCCTATTTTTAATTTCTCCAATAAATGCAGTTGGAAATAAAAGTGTTGTATCAATTTCTTAAAGAATAAAATTAATGTTTGATTTATAAAATTATTTTTGTGTATACCTCTACTTAAAAAATATTGTGAATATTGGCTGCTTTGAGAGGTAATTATATTTGGGTAATGTTTGTCCACTTAAAGCTGACATGAAGCAGCGTAATAGTCCTTGTTGTAGCTATCTGATGATACAACCCCCTGGGTAGGAAAACAAAAATGAATTTTAAAAGAGCCTCTGCAGATTTTAGAGTCTAATATAAAAATACTTTCTCCCATAAACTCCTACAACTGTTTGAATCTGTCATATCAATGCTCAATGCTGTTAATCTTTTTTCCTTATTTTCTATCAAAACCCATTGTTACCAGCTCTCTCCAGCCTCCTACCAAAGAAATTATCCACTCTCCCATTCTGCTGTGGTAAGAAACTGAGACACCTGGCAAGTCTGTTTGTTGGTTTGGTTTGGTGTTTTGTTTTTAGGGGTTTTTGTCTGGTTGGTTTGTTTTTTTTTCTTTCAAAGTGTACTTTTCCTTTCAGGAGAAAAACCCGGCATTCCTCATTTGAAAGATAGAGTTCAAATAGAAGATTGGAACTTGGGTTCCACTGACCAGCTCATGACTGTGGGTACTTCACTCTTCAAGCAGAACAGCTTTAGGAGGGCAAACTCAGAAGACTCATCTCAGAATAATCACCCAGCTAGGTCTCTTACAGTGTGGGAGGCTGTAGTTCAAGTCAATAGTCAGAACTTCAGTGGAGCATGAATTTCATCACCTTTTTAAGTCTTTGCAAAGCTCCTTAATTGTTGGTTGACCAGCTTCTTATTCCTTTTCAGATCAGCTGTTATATCCTCAGTATGTGAAACTTGTTTCTTTAGTAAATAACTGAGTGAAAAGTCAAGGGTCTCAGTTGCTTTATATGCCGTTAACATCCCTTGCCCCCTATTTTTCCTGGTGTTAGCCAGTATTTTAAAACAAGCCTTAATTTTCTTAGAACACTGGGAAGTGTTTCTTGGCCTGTACCATCGGTAGGTTTACTTGCAACAGTGGCAGGCTGGGTGTGATGATCAAGCTTCATGTTCCAGTGGTTTAGCAACTTTTATTAACAAATGTAATCAGAATTCTTAAATCTGAGGGGTTCCTTCTTAAGTGGAGGAATGTTTTTTATAACCAGTTCTGCGGGCAGCTTTTTAAAGGCTGATAACTTCTTTGTTACTGACAGCACTGTGCTGTGATTGGCTAGAGCGATTCTTTCCTTCCTGTAATGTAAACTTTTTTCTAGCAGAAAAGTCACAAAGTCTTTTGTAAAGGAAAAAAGGGCATTAGGCTGCCATAGCAATGGAATGTGGATTTCTCTTACTGTTAATTCTGTGAATTGCAGCTTTAAGTAAGTTTACACAAATTCAAAGGTCTTGCTTTTAGCCTCAGAAGATCTTAACTATTTAAAATACCCCTGCACCTGTTTGGTTTAGCACAAGTAGCTGCAAGTTCGTATGGGGAGAAACACTTTCACCTAATATAAATTTTCCATTGTGCCCAATGTAAGAGGTTTTTCATTAAACTCAGTAACTCATCATATTTTGCTGTCAGCTGATATTTAGGAAAAAAAGACATCACTTTTCATTTTGGCTGGGAGAAAAACCTGTGTGAAAATGTCAGTCAGCAAGCCCAGGCCTTCTTTTGTACTTGAAAACATTATAGGGTTTCTGAAGCCTGGCTAAACACAGGGCTTTAACCTACTACCCTGAATGTCACCATGTCCTCTGGAAGTGGGATGAATGTGGGCTGAGAATGCTGAGAAAACTCCATGGAGAAGGCGGATTTTATGCTGCCTGAACCTTTGTCTTCATGTGCAGCACTGTCTGCCCCTTTACTCCCACAGTTTGCTCAGTGTCCTTGAGTATTGTTAGGGGGTGGTCATCCCTCTCTATTTTCTCATTTTATTTAACGTTTTTTAATGTTTAATCTGAAGATTGAGGCAACTTCCTTACTGAAGAGGCAGTCACAGAAGCAATTTTGGGCTATTTCAAGACTAGAAAAAAAGACCAAGTTTTATAGTTCTTTTGTAACTTGAGTAAAGGTGGTGTTTGCTTCAATTTTTTTCTATTAAGATTAGAAAATATTTGGATACATGTGGAATTATTTCAGGGGAGAATAGCCTAAAATACACCATACTAAGCACACTTTTAAAAAGCAGTAGGCTAAGGTTTCATTGCAGTGCATAGAGTCACAGGGCAGAGTTAATGCCGCATGATCTTTGCAGTAAGATTCCAGTAAAGAAGATATCAGTCTCAGTTCTTTGTCAGGAACTCGAGCTCTTTCTCTTTTCAATGGTTGTAAATAAGTAAGCACTTTTTGTTATGCTCTAGGTGATTCAATAATCTCTGTTGCTCAACTGCTCAAGACTGCCGGCATGTGCCTTTTATTGAGTCATAGAAGGTATCAGTCTTGGATGTTTGCCCCCTTAACCTTAATAATATCATTGTTCTAGGATTATTACATGACAGTAGGAAGAGGAAGAAGTTAAAGCTATCTTTGGAAACATAAACCTTGCAAGCTTGTCAGACTTGGATTCTCAGGCTCTTAACTCCTCTCATGTTTATTCTAGACTGAAAGCAAACAAACCCTGAAGTCTTCAGAAAACTTTCTCTTCAGCTCATTTTCTCCTACAGCTTCCGAAGAACCAAATATGTCCTACCAAGTGTAAAGTGCAAGAGTGTGCGCCTACATCCAATAACTGTTCTGTTATATTGCTGCATCATCTTGATTCAAAGTTATTTTTTTTTATTAGCTGCAGTATTTTTCAACAGTGTCTACTTTTTTTTTTTTTTAATAGTTTGAATGTGCTTTGGTTTGGTTTGGCCTTTTTTGTTTTAAGGCAGATGCCCTATCTGTCAGGAAAGTTCTCATTTCTGATTAAGCTGTGTCCAAACTGATGAAACCCTACGCACATCTTGGTATTATGAGGGTTACTACAAGCAGGACTTTCACCATTTTAACAAATCTTTTAGAACTCATGCTTAAAAATGAGTAGTATGGCTTTTTTATGTGATCAGGGCCACAGTCTAAACTTCTTCTTCTCAGATTCTAGTTCCTTGAGAACTTTATTCTATGAAAGCTTAGACAGCAAGACCTCAGTGAGTACTTTGATAGTAAGGCAGATCAAGATGACACTTCAGCAGATGTAAAAGTTGTTACTGGTTTTGACGCACTGAGTTCATCCATCAGTGCAAATAGAAATGGGTTGTCACAGAATCCTGTGCTTCTGAATGGAGTGACACATTTTCATTTCCCTTATTGTGCATCAACAATTTCAAAAAGCTTAAAAATTCCTTCCAGTTTAAAAAGGTGTTCTTGCAGTTGTTACTGATTTCATAAACCACATGGCAGCATATGAACATGTCTGACTTTTGTCTGATAGTTCCTTCTAGTGTGATAATTCTTGTTGAAAATTATATACAACTTGAAGTGCTTTGAAGAAGTTGGTCTGGAGAGTCTGTAGAATCAACCTCTGCAAATTCAGTATGAGTTGCACTAAACACCAACACACAGCCCTTCTGTTCTTACATCAGGCCTGTGATGCATTCATTGCTGTTTTCCCTTTCATGATCTCCATGTAAGTGCTTATCAAAATGTGGTCTTCTGCCCATTTTGCCTGTCCAGAATGAAAGGCCTGGTATTTTAACAGTACTTCACCTCCTAGCTCTGTATCTTGTATCACAGAAATACACGCCTGGTAGAAGATTTGCTTAGTTTCCCTGGATTATCAAACTGCTTTCAGGACTTATTAAGACCATGTGTTGAATTGACATAGTCAAATACTGATGATGTAGCATGGGAAAGCATACAAGGCTCTGCTTGACAAATGTCTCTGCTGCCCATGGATTTAAGAATGTTAACCTGCAAATACTGAAAGCATTGGCTGAAGCAATTCTGGCCATATTAAGACAATGCATTGTGATACAGATTTTGCTTATGGAAGCAACTGATCCCGTGGCTGTCAGGCTGGCATCTTCTGCATCTGAAAATAAAATATTCTGTCCATCCATATTCTAAAAGCATTGTGAATGCCATCTCAAAATCTGTTTGCCTGGTAAATATCTGTGAATAGTTTACTTTTTTAAAATGAATGCTGCTGTAGCTTTTTTCTTGGTTATGATTCAGTTTTCATTATAGTTTGTGGGAATAGAGAAGCTCTTTGGAATTCGTAGTAGTACCAGTGCAAACTGACAAGATATATGAAAAACAAGTTTTGCAAATTTATCCACAACTAGAGAGTACTGTGGGATCCTCAACATCTAAAAGTAGATATTTGTAAGCCATCAAATAGAATGCTTTGTTGACTATTAAATTATATATATACTGATAACTCTAATTGGCAAATTTCTTTCATTGTTATGCTTTACTCTTTTGAGTCCTTTATTAAGGTTGTCTCTATCTTGGAGTGTGAGCAGCCTTTAGTCAGGGTCATCATTTTTTTGTAAATGAAAACTGTAGGGTAAAGCCATACCATATGGAAAGCTGGCCAGCCTGCTTTTGCTGCAAGAATAGTTGGATGAATAGTGATGAAGTTACCCATCTCACATGTGATATTGAGGAGCTATACCTCACCCACATCTTAAGGTTATTCATCTAAAAGGATTTGAAGCAAGACCTCCCACCATTATTTAAATCACTTGGTATGAGGAAGTGAAGCCAGGTGTACTAGAGTCCTGTTGGGCACTGGGAACCTTTGGGGAAAGGCCATTGTCAGGTTTGTGGAGCAAGTTCCCTGCTTTTACTAAAAACAAATGTGGAGAATAGACTATTCTGCTTTTGGGTTGAATAAAACATTGCAACTGAACTAGTTTACAGTAAATTAAAAGATTCGGGGAAAAAAATGCGGATTTGGCTAGTAATTTGATTGACAGGTCTGGCTGCTTCAACTTCATAACAAAGAAAATAAACTTCACCTTGATACCTGTTTTCTCTCTCCATGTCCCTGCAAGCAAAGGACCATTTGTTTGGTTGGTTGGTTGTTTGCTTGGTTTTTGTCAGGCCTATTTTAAAGAACGAAGTTTTCAGAGGATGGAAATTGTAAGACTGAACAAAACAGTGAGTTTTTAACGCAAAACAACAACAACAAAGAAACCAGTGACTTGAAGTGTTACTTTGCAGCTACTTAGCTTCATTTTCTACAGAGATGGTATTTAAAATGATCATGCTTTCTCTTTCTACTAATAATTTCTACCCTTTTGTCCATTGAAATTAGCTAATAAAAGATTCAAATGTAATTAATTTTTTCTACCCTTCTTGAAAATCAGCAGCTGGATAAAACCAAAAGAAATCCCCAGAGGTCTAATGTGTTGCTGTACCTAGGAAAAGGATTGCAGAATTTCATTGGTGACTCTGTGGCAGGTAAAGCCTGTCTTCCCCCTGCCCTGCCTTTCTCCTGCCCTGCCCTATGCCATACGGTGCGTATCCTTACCTCCTGTAGCACCATCACTAAGTGAGTTTTCTTTCTCCAAGTTCATATACCACACTGGTGTCAGCTAGACTTTAAGGAGTTTTTCATGCAATCTGGTGGTCCTGGAGGGCAATGTGAATGTGTACCCAAGTGCACAAGGGAGGCCAGGGTAAGAATCTCTCAGAGATGCTGTGAACATGAAAGCATCTAACCAGCCAGCCTGTTTCCCACGCGTGCGGCTTCAGGCTGAGCACAGTGTGCTGGATCTCACCGGGTTGAAGTACCCTCATGCAAGTGCAGTAGTCAGAGTTCCTGCAGTGAGGTCACGGGTAACCAGTCTGTACTTGTTCTGCTCTCATGCCGTTGGCTCTAACTCAGCCTCACCACGTTGTCCTCAGAAAGTTAGATAGATGGTGGGTGTGGACACAGTTAAAGGATAATGTGGCTGTTATCATCGCAAGCTGCATTTCTGTGGAAGTGAAAGAAAATAATGTAAATGAAATTCATAGGTAATTCTGAAATTGGAGGTCCAGTCTCTGGAGAGAATAGAAATAATACGGTTTATTCCTACTCACAGTAATGCTAACAACAAGTTTTGCATTCATGTCAGGTGAGTATGTTCACGATCTCTGAGAAGATTAGGAAGAACAGTAGCTCTGAAACTACAAAATGTTCAGTTTAAGAAACTGGGGCAAGGAGATGTACTAGTGGAAGCAGTTGAGAAAAATGACAAGAAATAATTATGTAAAATGCAACTAATTAGGAGTTTGTGACTGGGGGGTGCGTGTGTGTGTGTTTGTGTGAAAGTAGCTGAGTTATTTGCAAAACTATTGGATCACAGAGCAGGAGAAAAATCACTCCCTGGGTTCTGGTGGTGCTGAACTTAGCCATAGCTGGTACTTAAGGAAGTTGGCAAAGAAATATGCTAAGTGTAGAGAAGAAATGTTAAAAATTACAGATCTGGAGAACTTGGCATATTAAAGGTGGTGGAATTTTCAGGGAAAAAAATTACATAATCAGCAGTGACTGATGGGATGTCTTTGTTAGTCCCAAATCTGCTAAAAATGCTTGTAAGTCAGCTCAAGGAGATACTGATATAAAAAATGCACCATTAGACATTGACATTCTAAGCAGTTTGGACCAGATCCACGGAAGGTTTTAAATGACTAACATACTTCACTTTCTAATGTAAACTACTAAGAAGTCTAATCCTGTGCTCAGCTCGTGCTTTATTCACCTGCACCAGAGATCCAAAGGCCAGGAAGGGAAAAAGCCCATAGTGGGGGGTGTGGGTGGGGGCTGGGGGGTGTGGGGTGTATTTATTGCTCAGAATAGTCAGTTTCCAGTCTGTCTTTAAATTAGCATTTCACCATTTTCTAATGGTGTGAAAGAATTTTGGAGACTTAGGTGATGTAAGAGGAGTCGTGGCTTCCCCATCCCTGGAAGTGTTCAAGGTCAGGTTGGATGGGCCTTTGAGCAGCCTGGTCTAGTGGAAGGTGTCCCTGCCTGTGCCAGGGGGGTTGGAACTAGCCGATCTTTAAGGTCCCTTCCAACCCTAACCACTCTGTGGTTCTGTGATTCTATGATCTGTATGCCACAGCCTACCGCCAGAGAGCTAGCTTCTTTCAGAGGTGGATAGAGCATGTGGGATCACGACCTTGCCCCAGTTCTAGCATAAGGAGGGGTCAGAATCCTGATCCGAGCTCCTTCTTGAGCATCCTGAGCACCAACCAGCAGCGTCAGGGAACGGCGGGAGGTGCCTTCTTGGCGGGACCGGCACCAAACGCCCGAAGGGACTGCTCCCGGCTTCTCCTGAAGGCCAGCGTGCGGTGCGGTGCGCGGTGCGGTGCGGTGCGGGGTGCTCCAGGCCGGGCTCCGCTAGGTGGCGGATGCGGAAGGGCTGCACGCCGCTGCGGTGGAGCGCGGCCGGACTCGGCCCTGCCTCTCCGCGCTGTATTGTCGGAGGGCACGATAGAGCGCGGACAGTTTCCTGGAGTCCTGCCTGCCCCCGTCTCTTGCTGGTTTTGTCATTAATAAAGCAGAATCGGGAAGGATCCGAGGGAGGTCTGAGACACAAAGGACCCGGTGCGGTGACAGGGTAAGAGGGCACTTCTTGGCTATCCACAGTCAGTGAGGGAGGATTGCCAAGGCAGAGAAATTCTTGAGGAAAACACAGCGGGGTGTAGCGGGAGGCGGAGAAATAAAAAACGTCTGCGAAGTTTGCAGAGGACCAGCTGGTTAAATTGTAGCGTGGTCTCTAAGCCCGTAGAGAAGCGCTTTTGCCCCTTTACAGACCAGCTGAGAGGGGACGGCTGCGTGCCCGGGAGACCGTGGCCTTTTCCATCCGTGTTTTTTTTTTAGGTTGCAAAAGTGAAAGGAAACTGGAGTCTGTAAATATCACAATAAAGCATTAAATAAAATTGTCTTATACAGAATTAAATCACAAGTTCTTTTTCCGGCTTATTGTCGTCTTTGTCTTAAGCATGCTTTCTGCTGTGCGCTCCGAAAGCAGTGATTTTGTTTCTGCAGAGTGTGTATAATGCTTCAGAAACAGCTTTAGTGTTAAACCTGGGTGTTTGGGCTAAACTTCTTAAGGATGCACCTCCAGTCCCAATTTCCCTCGGCCCAGGTAGCTGTGTCTGACAGAAAACTCGCAAAACTGAGGCGGGTGCATTTTGCAGTGAGTATGATGGCCCTTGCCGTGCACATGTGCTCTCCCCCGGGCTCACCGCCCGCCCCTGCCCCGAGGGGCTGCGCACAGGTGTAGGGGCAGCCGGGGAGCATGTGGGGTTCTGGGGGCTCCTGGCTTGGTCCTAGGTGGCCGTTAAATCCGGCTCCGGGCCCCGGAGGTTGCGAGCTGGCTGCCGGTGAACCGGGGGGGGCTCGGCCGTAGGTAACTGCGCGCTCGAGGGGCCGAGGGTGCTCCGTGCCCCAGCGGGGCTCCTCGGCTCTCGGCGCTGCGCTGTCCCCTTGCCCCGCAGCGGTGGCGGGTGGCGCGTCTGGAGCGGCGGCTTCTGCCCCACGGCCCCCGTTCGGGCGAGGGGCTCAGTGCTGGGGGCACGCTGGGGGCACGCTGGTGACCCACCGCGAGGTGCCTCGCTGAGCGGAGTCGGCAGGTGGAGTTAACGGGCTGGCCGAGAGCCGGCGGGGAGCTAGGGCGGAGAGGGCGGCAGCGAGGGGAAGCGGGGGGAGCCACGGGGCGCGCCCGGGGCGCGGTGCCGGGGGTGCAGCGGCGGAGGCGGCAGCGCGCGGCCGGGTCCCCAGCCCTCCCGCTTTTGAACCTGGGCAACGCAGAGGCGTGGAGAGGGGCAGGGGCAGCGGCAGGCGGGGACAGCGGAGCGGGCCGAGCGGATAAGGTGGGAGAGCCGCGGGAGCGGAGCGGGTGAACGAGCAAGGTGTCAGCGACTAGCGGCTGCCGCTGGTCCCCTGCGCTCCGCACCGCCCCGCACCGCACCAGGCACCATGCAGAGGTCCCCCCTGGAGAAGGCGAACATCTTCTCCAAACTTTTCTTCAGGTGGGAGCCCCGGCCACGGCGGGACACGTGCTGCCTGGGGCAGCGGGCAGGGCGGGCAGCGGCCGGGCAGGGGGTTCTGTCGGGCTTTGGGGGCCTGGCGCTGGGCGCCAGTCAGCTCTGGGGAGGTCCGAGGGCAGCGCGGTGCCGAATGAGGAGATCTCGCTTCTTTTGTTGTTGTTGCTGGCTTTTCAGCACCCGGATTGGGCTCTGTCTGTCAGGTGTCATAAACCCTCGCTGGACCTGGACAGATGTGTTTATGACAGAATTTGAGCAACCTTTGGTAAATTGCTCAAGTAGTTAATCTGTTATTTCACTGTAAACTGAGAAAACACAGCGGGGTGGTGGGGAGCTGAGGGGAAATGCTCTCGGAGCAAGGATTCTTTCTGTTTGGCTTTTTGGGTGTTCAGCATTTGCTCAGTGTGTGAGTGTACTGGAAACAGTTCCTTGTAAGCCTTTCCTAACAAGCAAAGTCTCTGTCGCTTTTTCTTTCTCACAACTTCAAATAAAAAGGGAAGAAGGAGCCAATACCAACGCCTGGGCACAGTGTGCTCTATTAGACAATATAGAAGCCTGAACATGTTTTATGTGACAATGCTAGACATAACACTGCCACCTGGAAAGAGCAAATAATTTTTCTGGCTTTGGCTCACATGCCACAGGTTTTTCCTGGGTGCTGGTTCCCCTCTTTGTTGCTGGAGGGTCTTTTGCATTGCAGGGAGGGGAGGAAACCTGTGAGTAGTGAACATAGTGACTGAAATGGGAGCAGGTGATGTAAAACCATAACATTGGCACGAGGTCTCTGCCTGAACAACTGGGGGCTTTTAGCTCACTTCAGTCCATTTGGGATAGCTTCCCTTTCCAGGTTGGCCTGGACCCTTTTTTAAAGTTTCTTAAGGAAGTGGGTCTGCATGGATCCCTCTCTGCCTGCCTCTCCCACTTGGGCTCATTTTAGCCAGATGTGATAGTGGAGAATGATCCCAAATGTAACCTGTTCCTAAAGTTTTACAAACATCCAGGTAAAGGTGAGGTCCCTCGAGGTGTCCCCCAGTGGTGCTGCAGTGGGAAAGGAGCTGCAACTGCTCTCAAATGCTGCTAGAGCCAGGGAGTGTGGATGATGGGAGTGCAAGCCTTCACAGATTCTCCGCAGAAGTTTCAGTCAGTGCTTTTCTCAAGTACAAGACACAAATCTGTAGAAAATAAGTCTGTATATTAGCCCCTTAATATTACATAAGGCTGTATATTAGCCCCTTGTTCTATTTAATTTTATTTATTTGTAAAGCTTCTATCAGAGTAGTGCTCCCTTAGAACCTGTGATGCTGAAGGTGTCAAGAAAAACACCCCTGTAAGATAAAGCAAATATACTTCTGATTCCTGCCTTACTTAAACTTCCTGTGGCTGAAACCAGATGTGGTTCATGCTTATTAAGTACATACTTAACCGTCCTTGGGCCTGACTAACCTGTTCTTTTAAAATCGTAGTCTTTAGGTCAATTAAGTGATGTTTGAATCATGCTTATCATGCATGATACATTATATTTTACCAGGTATCTGAGTGTATATAAAAAGAGGTTTATGATGAATATTGACTAGAGCAGAGAAATTTCTTTACAAAACTTTACAGAGACATTGTTTTGTAGAAGAATCAGGCTGTTAAAGTAAACCTTCAGTTCACAGGGTAAGAACAACCAAAATTACATGTGTACATCTGTGAAGTATCTAATGTGGTTCTAATACCTTTGCAATGATGTTTCTGTGAATGACAAAGTCTCTGTTTACATGCGTACTACCACATACACTGTGAATGTCTTTGTTTCTTCACAAATATTATATGAAATAAAAAGGTCACAAAAGTGAAAGCCCCAAAAGAATAACATGAATTACATCCAGTTTGGCAGCAAAGTTGTCTTTCTCTTATAAACAAACAAATAAATAAATAAACATTTGGAAAACATACATTACAGTGATGAAACACGTTAGCTTGTTTTAAAATATATCTCTTCAGTCTTCAAGGACTCCATCAGTTTCTGTCTCATCAAAAGTAGATCAGGATCAGTGCTAAAGATTATTAAAAGGTATGTTATCACATTGTAAATATTCTTCAAGGTATAATTTTTCATGACACTGAAGTATATTATTTGTGATGAGCTTTACAAAGCTGGAAGCACTTGCTATGTATCAGTAGCAAGAGATCTGTCCACTCAACTGGAAACATCCACAAAGTAGTGATTAATGACTGAGATTGGAACAAGGTTTTCTAAGATGTCAGAATATTCTGTTAGTGTTTTAACTGAATCTGTACACATCATTGGTTTCTGATACTGATTGTTTTCAGTAAGGTACTCCAGGACATGCCTACATTTAGTTCTATGAAAAGGGTGTGAGGCAGAACTCAAGGGCATTATATCTGAAACAAGTAGTCAATTCTTTCTTAAAAAAAAAACAAAACAAAACAAAAAAAGCCCCAAAAGGCATGTATGGAAAAAGGTTGTTTTTTTCCAGTGATGATGAAATAGTTGCTTTCAAGTGCAACATTGCAGAATGCTGCAGTGAAGTAACTTTTATAGAAGGCTCCTGTGCAATTATGTGTGAAGTGCCTATCTGAATATAGGGCAATAAGCTGAAGGTCATGTTAGCAGAAGTGATACTGAAGTATTAGTTGTTATTATTCAGGAACCTTTGCTGACATCAACTGTCATCCTAAAATTTCAACAATTTCTTCTTAGAAATGGAGTTTTGGTGGTTATGAAATGAGGTGTGGAGACACGTGGTGTGAGATCTTTGATTAGGATGCCAATTGGAAAACACTAGTTACTAAGTGTTTGGGGTTTCAGGGTTTCTTTTGTGTTTTGTTGTAATTTCCTTATTACATTTTCAGAGTTGATGTCTTTTGTTCCAAACCACAAGCAAGGCATTTAGCTGTGCACTGGCAACTTTCTGTCTCATTTAAAGGAAATAGAGTTTTATGCAGAAGCAGTAGTTTGCTTAACTTTGTGTTCATTGTGAAACTTCACTTCTGTCTTTACAACAGTTACTTACATTCTTGGAGTTTTGTAGGGTCAAGGCCATACCTTTTGCGACAAACAACATCAGAGTGCTTTGCAATCAGCTAGTTTTTATTGTAGATTAACTGAGATAAGGAAGTATCATTAATTAATCAATTTTTAACTGGGTACCGGAACACAGAGTTAATGCTGGAGTTTCAGAAACAGCTGCAACTTCGTGAAAATCCTGGTGGTGGTTTTTTAGTTTGTTTTTTTTGTTTTGTTTTGTTTTTTTTTGTTGTTGTTGTTGTTTTTTTTTTTTTTGGTCTTTGCTTTTTTGATTTTGTAATGTGCAAATTTAGATATTTAAATACAAGTTCAGAAAAGGCAATTCTTGTGCTCCTGTCCAACTCTCTAAGCATATAGAATCATAGAATGGTTTGAGTTAGAAGGGACCTTAAAGATCATCTGGTTCCAACTCCCCTGCCACGGGCAGAGACACCTTCCACTAGACCAGGTTGCTCAAAGCCCCATCCAGCCTGGCCTTGGACGCTGCCAGGGATGGGACAGCCACAGCTTCTCTGGGCATATGCTTTTGCTTTG